AAAGTAGAGTTTTACCCAAGATGATGTAGCAAGTCCCTGGACTGGAACCGGGTTTCTGGGGATAAATCCAGAGCCTTCCACTTTCCCCACACTCTCTGTACAGCCCCAAAGCCTCGAGATCTCTAAGCCATATTTGCTTCTTCAGAGTACCTATCCCATCATGCTCCTCTTCGTCCCTTGCTTCCCGCCCTCTGCACCTCAGTGATCCTCACAACTTCCCCAAGTCCCATCCTCCAACCTGATTGGTGAGCTCAGCCTTCTGGTTAAACATGTCACTGTGATCCCCAATGAGAAAGCCACGGATGTCTCGGAAATCTGGCAAGTTTAAAGACAGGGAAAGAGAATGATGGGCCTTGTAGGAAAGGAAAGTTCCAGGCTTTGGGGCTGGCAGGGAAACAGAAAGTGGATGTGAGGTGAGGGGTAACCCATGTGAGAGACCATAGCTGAGTATGGCATGGGAACCGAGGGATGGAGGACTGAGTTGGGACCCAAAGGAAGAAGCATGTGACTGAAAGGCCTATTCAGTAGGGCAGAATGGACATTAAGGACTCTCCATTGGTTGGCAGGGTTTGGGTAGTAGACCAGTTGGCTGGGTCAGGTGGGGTGAGGAAGAATGTGCGGACTGGGGTCCCACCAGCGCCAAAGGTATGGATGCACTCCACTCCATCCATGATGGCAATGATGCCCAGGTTCTGCCAGCCAACCAAGTGCACTCGGCCTTTCTTCTCCAGGCTGAGGACGGGTCAGAGGTCAGGACATAAGAGGTCACCATGAAAAAGAAGCCAGAGGGGCCGGGGATTTAGCTCAGTGGTTTCACTACCTGCTGCGCAAGCGCAAGGACCCGAGTTCGATCCCCAGTACCAAAAAAAAAGAAAACAAAAAGAAGCCAGAGATGCATATGGAAGAACACAGGGGTCAACAGAGAAGCCAGCGTGGAGAGCCATTCCTCCCGCCATGTTAACCTTCTCAGTCTCCTCTGCCCCGCCCAATGCACATCCGGGTACCTGGTGCTGACTTGCTTCATCAGAGTGGCGATCTTGGAGCTCTGACTGTAGGTCACCTTATGAGCCCGCTCAAATGTCCGCAGGATTTCCAGAAGGCATCTGGGAGAGAAATCGGCTCCCTCAGAAAGCGTAGGCACCCCTACACCCAATTCCCATATAACTAAGTTCTGTTGGTGCCCGGAGGAGGCACAGAAAGGAGAGCCAGACTGCACTGAGGAGCACCCAGCGCTGAGGGTGGGGGAGCAGAAAGGGCTGGAGGGCTGCAGAAAACTAAAGAGCAGAAAGAGGAAGCGGGGGATCCAGAGAGCCTTGAGGGCAGATTCGATCTGAGAGTGGATGAGGAGCTACGTGAGCAGTCTGGAAGGTAGGTTAGAGACCCTGGTCAGGGAAGGTGGGCACAGCAGGACACACTCTGGCCTGCACGACCTGACCCGTTCCAAGCTCAGCTCTCAGAAGCCTGCTTCTGGATCTGGACCTGCCATCCCCCACCCACCTCACCCCGTCACTGCCTGGCTCTGGCCTCTCTTGCCTAGAGCCTCCCTCCGTACCTTGGAGATGCTGCAATGCCCCGGTCCACCGTCTTATGGGCTGCCAGTAACAGGGTTTCCAGCAGGATTTTGGTGGTACTTCCACCTTTCATGCGGGAGGAGCCGCTGAGACCCTCAGGCTGAGGAAGCAAGGACACAAAAGGTGTGGGGTGGACAGGATGCTCCTAGAGTCCACCAGTTAGTGACCCCAGGCATGGGAGGTGGTTGGTGACCTTGGTTAGTGTCCCCAGCCAAGCACTCTGGTTAGGAACCCTGGTGCCCCCCACCCACCCAGAGTGCTGTGAGGAGGAGGAGGAACGCTGGAGTGATTTAACTGAGGGGAGAAGAGAGAAGGAAAGGGCCACCTCTTGTCACCCCACGGTACATTCAGCCCTCTCTGGGAGGAAGCCAGAGTGCTTGAGTCTCTTGTCAGCTGGGTTAAGGGTTTTTCAGAGAGTGCTTTTCTTCCTCAGAACTTCCTCCTCACCTTCCCCAGCATTATATTTTGTGGTAGCCTGTCAACCCAGATACCGCAGTCCATGTGCTTTGACAGACCTGTGAAGCACCCACTGCGATGGCACAGATTCGTAACAGTATACCAAAGACTACGGCAGAGCGAAGGATGAAAGCAGTGATGGAGAAAAGAAGACTGAGAGCCAACAGCTGCTGAGAGGAAGAAAGAGAGATGAGCACACGTGTAGCATGAAATATTGCTTTCCTGTCTCACGCAGGGAGACCAAGGAGAGTATCGCAGATGAGCCCACCACTGGCATAGGAGGGCAAGGCTTCGGGCAAGTTCCATGTAAGGGTGGAGGGCACTAGTGACACGCACCCGCAGCCCAGAGGAGACCAAAAGGAGCAGGAGCCTCGCAGGCTACGAAGCCCCACCCCCTGAAGAGTAGGACGGACCAAGGCAGAACAACAAAACTGTGTCTTCTTTTCAGTACTGGGGATTGAACACAAGGCCTTCACACTTAGCTACATCCCCAGGCCTTTTTTATTTTTTATGCTGAGACGTCTCTCTAAGTCAAGACTGGGCTTGAACTTGTGATCCTCCTGCCTCAGCTTCCCACAGTGCTGGTTCCTTCCAATTTTTACAGCCTATATTTGAAATTCAAATGTTGTATATAAAAGACATCGAATGAGCCATAACCATGGTTAGTTAAGGGTGTCTGTAAACTAATGGGACAAAACTCCTTTAAACAGAAACTGCTCTAGATCACTAAAATGTTTGACTACTGACTGGAGAGAGAGTTGGAATGAAGATGAAACACCTTAAGGTGAAAAGTAAGTGGGAAAATAGGATTTCATTTAAAGCATGTTACTTGACACAGAATGCCTCAGGAATTGACTTGACAAACAGAACTTAAATCAGAGGTCCTGAGCAAGTGACAAGCGACTCCCAGATGCTTGGGGGAGGTGCAGAGAAAGGAGAGGGCAGCCCTACCCCAACTGCTGGATTCAGCACAAACGCTTCCTGTTTCTCTTGCATTTTCTGCATCCGCTCTGCTACTTGCCGGAAGGTTGAACTCCAGTCTTCAATGGGGTCATTTCTAGGGTCCAAAGAGATACAGAGCGGGCAGGGTCATCTGTGAGGATCTGAAAGGGGGTCCTCAGCTGGGAGTCAGGTTCTAGGACCCCACAGAGACAGTGATCAGAGTCAACAATGTCACACAGAGAGGTGCTTTGGAGCTCCTGGGGTTCTGTGTCCCTGAACCCCAAGGACAGGGTTAATAAAGGAAGTCCCGATAAAGCCAACATTCAAGTTTAAAGTTCCGGCCCAAGACCAGAACCAGAGCGTGGAGACCAGAGTCTTCTTGAATCCTACTTCTAGCACAGGACCTACTACCATGGCCACACCCACCTTGTCCTCAGTAGGGCCCCAGCAGGTGCCTGTCATCCCTATTAGGGTCATTTAGAAGCCCTTCCCATTCCTGGAAATTCACTGTGGAAATGCCTCCAAAGAGCCAACGCGCACTGCCTGAGGGAGGGATGACAGTCCCTAATGAGGGAAATGAGCTGCAAGGTAAAAACTGGTTGCGCCTATGATGGGAAAGATTGAGTGAATTAACCAGGAACGAAGCAATATGTTAATAATTCAAGGGAGGGGCCAGGGATTTAGCTCAGTGGTTCCACTCCCTTCCTCGAAACCGAAAGGTCCCGTGTTCTATCCCCGGTACAAAGAAAAAAAACTGAAATAAGGGCCGGGGCAAGCAGAAGGTCCTGAGTTCAATTCCTGGTACCAAAAAGAAAGGAAAAGAAAAAAGACTGAAACAGAAAGAGAGGAAACAGTGCCCCTATTATATGGTTTAAAATCAAGATTCTCAGGCTTGAGGGGACATCAAAATCATCTGAGGAGTTCTGTTGCTGTCATTGTTTTAATAACTACCCATTTGTGGACAGTGGATTCAGCTGAGATTCAGATTCAGCAGTTCTGGAAGGAAGCCCAAAACTCTGTACCTTTAAAAGCTTCCCTGATGACTCTGAAGATCAGCCACGTTTGGGAGCCACTGATTTAAAGAACAACTGGAAGATATCCACGCCTACATTGTTTGAAATTCTTCATTTCACTTAGTCACAGGGCCTGAAATTAGCATCAACTGCAGCAAATATATTTTTGGTGGAGGAGAGTCCTCCATGCCAAATGATCAGGGTTAGGAGTGTCTCAGACTCACTTACACCTTTGAATGAATTATACTATAAGCCTCGAATCTGGAACTAGGAAGAGCACCTCAGCTCATCTGCTTCCCTGAGACCACTGCTAGTAAATAATAAGGCTGCTCTACACAGTCAGCCTTTGCTGCAGTTCCTCCACTGACAGGAAGCCTGTCACCAGGTGGCTCATCCAGTGGTTTATTTAGCAGAGTCCCCAGCGCTGGCTGCATGTCAGAATCTCTAGGGATGACATCTAAAAATGGACATTTTGGGCCAGGGATTTAGATCAGTGGTTTTGCCACCTGCTGCACAAGTGCAAGGACCTGAGTTCGATCCCTGGTACCAAATAAATTAAAAAAAAAAAATGGACATTTCAATTCATCACCCCAAACCAACAAACTTGGCCTCTAACACAGGGGCTAAGAATCAATCTATCTTTCTTTTCTTTTCTTTTTTAAAATTCAGGGCCTTCACACTGAGCTACACCCTCAGCCCTTTTTATTTTTTATCCTAAGACAGGGTCTCGCTAAGTTGCTAATTGCCCAGGCTGGGCACAAATGTATGATCTTCCAGCCTCAGCCTCCTAGAGTGCTGGGATCACAAGCGTGTGCCACCACACCTGGCTCTTCTTCTTTCTTCCTACTTTTTAACAATCCCCAAGAAACTCACACACAGAACCTCAGCTGCACACTATTGGTCTGATATGCTGTCTTTCTCTGAGATCAGACAAAGTGGGAATTTAGACAGAGAATAAAGGGAGGTGATTTGGTAGCACAGGGAAGGAAGGGGGCTAGATTTCAATAGCCAAAGGAAACAAGAGCACCACAAGTGATGAGGAGAGTGTGAAAATAAGGGAGTTGGACAGAGGTGTAGGTGGTCAGTTGGCGCCACTACTCCCTTGAAAAGATGCTATGGGCTTGCCCCAGAGACAACTACAGATCTCTGTGGTGCACGTTTTCCTGACCCCAATTTTGTTCCTCCAGCCCTTCTTTCCTTGCCTTTTCCATCTCTGTTCTGAATGTATGCCACCTTGTATTTTATGTGGCCTGCATTTCTGAAACAAGAATTGAATAATTAAATCAACCAACCAAACAAAAATGACCTCATCAGCTTAGGGGGACCCCATTATGCATCTGTCCTCTTTTGTGATTGTACTATCTGATGTGTTTCCGAGCCCAGGGCTGCCCAGTCCCTACAGAAGTCTCACCTGGCCATGTTCACGGGATTGAAGCCAACCAGGACTGGCAAGAAGACAGCTGTGTTGTCCATGCAGTAGTCCATCTGGCCTGCCACAAAGGGCGCCTGGTGGCAGTGAGAGGGGAGGACCGGACAAGGGAGTTACTCTGAGTGCTGCCTAAGGCCCCTGGGCCTCAGAATCCCCCAGAATACTTGTCAGAAATTCCCAGGCCCAGTAAAGACCCACTGGATCTGAACTGGAAGCAGGAGCACATTTTTTTTTTTTTTTTTGGTACCAGGGATCAAACTCAGGTCCTTGAGCTTGGGCAGCAGGCAGCGAAACCACTGAGCTAAATCCCCGGCCCCAAGGAGCACATTTTTAACAAGTACCCCGAGAGACCTACACTTGTATCAAACACCATCAAGGTAATCTCCTACAGGATAAAGTTTGGAAATTGCTGAACTAAATTGTTCAGCACGCTGCTCTCCTTGTGTATATCCAGCTCCTACCAGGTGGGATTTGGGTTTCTGCTCACTGGATTCTTAGAATCAGAAACTTACAGGGTTGACAGGAAACGTGGGGTCACCTAGCCTAGGGCTGCTCAAAACAAACACCTGGGAATCTTGTTAAAATTCAGATTCGGATTCAGTGGATCTGGGTTGGGGTCTGAGATCCTGCATTTTCTAACAAGTCCCATGCGATGCTGGTGCTGCTGGTGCAGGGATTGTTGTTAGGTAGCAAAGGGCTAGTCTGGAGGACAGGCTTTTCTGTTAAGGGCCAGAGAATGTTAGGGTTTGTGGGTTCTCTGAGCTCTGTCCAACTATCAATCCTAGAGTTGTGGCACAAAAGAGGCCATAGACTATATGTGTAAATACAAACGACTCCATGTTGGTAAAACTTTATTTACAAAAGCAGGCAGCCAGCATAGTTTGCTGACCCCTGGACTGGTCTGTCTATCTTGGTTGTTGATAGATTGCTGCACAGTTATTATGAGAACGGATCCCTTCTCCCTATTCTCACATTCATACAACTGGATCCAAATGAGCTAAAATGAAAATTCCTTTCACAAGTGTTCTGCCAGTCTTTTCCTACCCCTTCTTCCCTATAAAATTGATCCACTCTGCCTATCTTCACGCTTACAGAGAGGCCCGCCGAGATGCCAATGACAATGACCCTCTTCTTCCCAGCAGCCACCTAGGAGAGAACAGACAAAGGAGCACCACTGGGGGGACTCCAGGGTACAAACCTATTGTGTGGAGGGATCAGGGCCAGGACCCAGGTGAGGGGACAGGGTTGGGCCAAGTGTTGGGGGCTTTTATGTCCCCATCAGACATGCAGTTAAATATTAGTGGAAAGCACACACCTTCTTCAGCTCCTCAATCCCATGCAGGGCGCTGTCTTCCTTCCCCTCCCTGGAGGCCACCACAGACCTACGAAGGCATATTCAAAGTCAAGGACATTCATTGGGAAGCAGAAGCCTATGGTTTATTGGGGAAGGGGAAGGCCACGCCGAGGGAAGGGAATGAAGGAAACTGTCCCTGAATGAGAACCCACTGTTTTGATGGGCATCATGATAGATGCTTGCTCCATAGAGTCAAAAAGCTCAAATACCGACAAGGGCCAGTTGGGCACCCTAAGTAGGTGCAGTGTGTCAAATGGAGGGCAGTAAGGAGTGATGGGGGCTGAGGCGTTTTGGACAAAATACTTGTCTAGAGTCATTCCAATTCAGTTTCTGAAAAATACATATGCAGCCCAAACCAAACAGCTCAGGCCAAGGTGACTCACCTGTCACCTCCTGCAATGAGGTAGGTGTAAAGAGGTTTTTGTCCTAGACCTGTCATCAGCTGGTTAAAGGAGACCTGTGTCAAGGGGGAAAGGAGGTAAAGAAGTAATGATAGTGAAGAAACAACTTGGATTTTCAACTCCTAGCAGAAAGAATGATTTTCTTAGGGCAGTGCTTAACCCAGTCCTACTTGGAATCTGCTCTGCAGATGCTATGTGGAGATGGTTAATTAGGGATGTGTGGGGTGTAGGGACATCAGCAACAGACTGGTGGAGTCTCCGTGGGCTCAGGAGAAATGGGATCCATGGTGGGAAGAGAAAGAGAGTGACACGTGGAGCCCAGGTCTAACAGGGGCCCACCTGGAAACTTAACTATGATGAGCTTTATGGTCCTAGGGCTCATCCCCAGAAGGAGACTGACGAAGACAGGACCAGGGTACTCACCGACATGAGGAATGCCATCCGGCCAGAGGTGCCCCCTCCACTCAGCACCACCAGCCCCTCATCTGGCTCCTGAGGAAGGAAAGATGCCTAGGTCGCCATGGCCCAGCTAGGCCAAGGGATATATGTTCTTTTCTTTGTTAGTAATGGAAGAGAACTTAAAGGGCCTCCTTTATCCTTCCTCTCATCACAAAGTTGAATAAAATACAGGCCCTGTGATGCAGCAGAAAGAACATTGGATTGGAGAAAGAATCTGGAGTTTGACTCCCATCTCTGGTTTAACTGCTTATCAATCCCTTGTTTACTCTGGAAGGGACTGACAACAACGTAGTCACCTAAATAAAAATTTTAAAGTAAAAGTGGCATTATCCAACAATTATTAGCTGGGTGCATTTCAGCAAGCTATTGTGATTTTCCTCACGCGCGTGTGTGCATGCGTGCTTGTGCATGTTTGTGTGTGCATGTGTGTAAAGAAACTTAGAGACAATTACATCAGCTTCGCAGGCTTGTGTGAGGGTAATAGGTGTGGAAGTGCACTGTCAATTCTAATTTAGCTAATGTTATTATAATTATTACTGATTAATAAGATGACAATAAGGATCCAAAAGGAAAGACTGGGAGGATGGAGAAGTGAGATCTACAAAAGTGAAGGATGGTGATCAAAACAGAGAAAGTAGAAGGAAATAGGAGTTCAGGCAGGAGCAAGTGGAGGTCAGTACCTTCAATACTTCCTGCACTTTCCCGGCCACTTGCAGCATGGTGGTCAGAACTGATTCGCTGTACAGTCGCTGCAGGGAACAGGCGGGAATCAGAAGCCAAGACAGGAGGGTGTAAATTGGAGTGGGAGGAGAAAGGGCTCTCAGTTTCCAAACCAGGAGAAACGGGCTGGGAGGGCAGAGGCTGAGGTGGAGATGGGTGTCCAGGGGATGAGCCTGGGTTACCTGGTAGGCAGGCATGGCTTGCCCCTCCTCCTGGAAGATCTCAGCATCACACTGCCCCAGCAACTGAACGATTTTCCCAGCATCTGCTTTGTCCAAGTCCCGGGTCAGTGGATTTGACTTCTCTGTGATCCGCATGGCTGCCTCGTACCCAGACAGCTACAGAAAAGCAGGGACAAAGATAGGGACAAGAAGCCGAGGCTTCGTTTGTGCCCGCTGAGCTGGGGTGGGAGTGGCAGCGGGCACGGTGTTCGGACTCTCTCTTATACACAGACACACACCACACCACACCAGGCACTTAGCCTGCACTTGGTGCTCTGGGCTATTAGAGAAGGAAGGTCAGGGGGAGGTGGGAGGGAAAGGGAGGTGTGTGTGGGAGCAGAAACCCAGGGAGAAGGGAAGCCCAGGTAAAAAGAACAGTTCTAGGAATCGGTGCAGAAGACCAAAACCGAGAGGGGTCTCACCTCCCACTCGCCAGGCTTGGGGGTCTCAATCACATGTTGAAACCGCTTTGTGCTTGGCATGGTCCCCTGCTGTGGTCACACCGTCCTGTCTGCCTCTTGAGTCACACAAACCCCTCTGGTCACAGTGACTCTGCTTCCAGCTGGCAGAGGCTTATCTGAGCCACAGAGATGATTAACCTAGGAGCACTGGCCTCTCGGAGCACCACCCCCTGCACTTCTTCCTGGACCATCCTGTCCTGGTCACCAGGCCCCCAGCCGTCCTGGGAGCCCCTGGTCCTCTTTGCCTGCACCTCAACTTGCCAGCCTCTGTTTGCCCCCCGAAGAGATGGAGGCTCATTGCGCTTGCCCTCTGGGCACAGTGCCCTCTCCTCTGGAAAGCCTAGAGCCTGGGTGGGCAGGACAACACCCAGGCCATTGAGAATCCCTGGGCAAGAGTGCTCTGGGACCAGGATGCCCCGGGAGGCCAGAGGTCAGGGTTCTGGGGTCAGCAGAAGTCAGATGACCCGGGCCATGGCTTGATCACATGCTCAGCACACACTGTCCTTCCCTGCCCCACTGGCCCATTTTACCCTCTCTTCTCAGAAGCAAACAGAAGCTTCAGAGTCCAAGTGTGCAAGCACTGAACTGGGCATCGAAGGAGAAAAAAATGCCACAGAAATAGAAATGCTGCAATGAGCATGAGAACCAAGGAACCTGCCCTAAATACAAATACAGTGTTAGCCACCATTTATCTACACTGAGCCATGCACTTTTCATCCACCAACCTCACTGGCCACATCAACTCTCGGAAGTCAATATCGACAGCCCCATTTTACAGACGATGAAGCGACTCAGAGCAGTGAAGTCATTGCTCAAGATCATACATCTGGCTGACCTAAGACACTCAAATTCTCCAGATTTCATACTCAGCCAAAGTATGAAATAACTTAAGCACTTATGTGCTTTTTGAATGAATGAAGCAACTAACAAGTCAGAGCCAACCAATAATAATCACTCACTCACACAGTATGGTAAGATTCATAAAGGTTTTTCCCCAAATTGTCTCATTCGATCCTGTCCACAACCCTGGGAGGCTTCATTCATAAGCTCTGCTTTACAGGTGGGAGACCTGAGGTGCAGATTAACCAATTTCCCTAAGCCACACAGTCGTCAGGGCTGGGGGGGTGGGGTGGAGGGGGGCGGTGAGAATGTGGATCTTTGCTCTCCAATTCTCCCTATAAGCCCAGCACTAACAGTCGCTTTGTCTCCAGCTTCTAACCTAATGCCAGACAGACGGGCTGCTCACTAAATTTGGCCGAATAAATGCAACAATGAATGAGAAAATGAACAGAACCAAATCAGATTATGAATGGGAAAGAGACTTAAACTGACGCAGTCTACAAGTATGAGATGGGTAAAGCAATGATGTCGACCACTCCGAGTCCTCTCCGGTCAGCCCCTTCCCACACCGGAGATGGAATTCCTCCTCTGAACTTGGCTAACGCCGTCCCGGAAAGGGGGGCGCCGCCAGGTGCAGAGACCCCGCACCCGCGCCCGCCCGCGCCCCGCCAGTCCCGGCGGCTGAGCGCGGAGAGAACGCCGGGGGCCGAGCCGCCATTGGGGGGGTCGTGGGCGGAGCCCCGGAGCCCGTGAGGGGCGGGGTAACGGAGGCTAGAACCCCGGCGGGCGGGGCGGAGCGGGGCGGGGCGCCCGCAAGTCCCGGCCGGCTGCGGCGGAGCTCGCGGAACCGGCTCTGCGGAAGGCGGCGGCCGGCGCCGGGACGGTCACATCGCGCTGCGGGGCCAACCAGGCAGCCGCACTGCCCTCCGCACTGGGGACCGAGGCCAGCGGCCAGGCCGCCCCGGCGACGCCCCCTACTCGGGGCCGGACGCCTGCGCTCGGGGCCCCCGCAGACCCGCCGCCCGCGCGCACCCCGCTCTGCCCCCGGCCCGCGCCGCCCGCCTCGCCGGCCCGCGCCGGGATGGGGTAGGGACAGCGCCTCCGAGCCGGGCAATGGGCCGCCCTCTGGGCGCCGAGCAGACCCCGAGGCCTGACCGGCCCGAAGACCGGCGGAGGTGGGTGTGCGCCTGGGGAGCTCCCACTGGAGGCGCTGGATTCTGAGGGTTGGGGCCAGTGGGGGAAACGTGGCTAACGTGGGCCGCGGGGAGCCCGGGAGAGCTGCTGCCCACCGAGGCAGCCCCTGACCCCCAAACTCGCCCCCTCCAGGAGCTCCGCCTGGATGTCAAGCGCATGCCCCAGTGTCCCCCAGCGGACTCTGTGGGACCATGGCTTCGCTGATGCCCCTCTCCTCATATCTGAGCCCCACGGTCCTCCTGCTGGTCAGCTGTGACCTGGGCTTCGTGAGAGCAGGTGAGTAACAGGAATGAGGGTGGCGTCAACCAGAGGTGGGGTGTGAGTGAAACCTGTTAACACCCTGGCATCCGCAGACCGACCTCCCTCTCCTGTGAATGTGACGGTCACTCACCTCAGAGCCAACTCGGCCACTGTGTCCTGGGACGTCCCAGAAGGCAACATCGTCATCGGCTACTCCATTTCCCAGCAAGTATGAATCACCCACCCTTCTGCCCCCCCCAGCCTGTGTCCTTGGTGGTCTGGACGTTCCTTTGGTTACCTCCATGCTCTGAGCTCTCCTCCCAGCGCTGGGGGATCTGGGAGCTGTTGTGCCCCGGCCCGGGTGCCCTTTCCATCCTCCTCCCTTGCAGGGATGGGCTGTACCAGAGCCCAGGTTGAGCCTTGTGGCCAGGCCCTGGGGTGAGGCTGTCCCCTCGTGTCATCTCCCCGCAGCGACAGAATGGCCCCGGGCAGCGTGTGATCCGGGAGGTGAACACCACCACCAGGGCCTGTGCCCTCTGGGGCCTGGCTGAGGACAGCGACTACACAGTGCAGGTCAGGAGCATCGGCCTTCGGGGCGAGAGCCCCCCAGGGCCCCGGGTGCACTTCCGGACTCTCAAGGGTTCTGACCGGCTGCCCTCCAACAGCTCCAGCCCAGGTGAGGGCCTGTGCTGTACATTCTCTGGTTGTTTTACCTGGCTTTTATCCTCTTATTTACCTCCCAAAGCAAGCCGCAGTCTCCCTTAGATAAATAGGGAGATGATTTAATTCACTGTACTGCCAGGAAAGGAAGGAAAAGCAAGTGGGCAGGGGCCCAGTATAGACAGACTGCGAATGAATCCTTTGGGGGGAGGGCTTTGACGCTCCCTCGCCCAGCCTCACAGCACATCACATCATGTCGTGTGTGGCCAGGTTCTTCAGCCTCTAACCACCTGTCTACCAAAGGCTTCCTCCCAGAGAGGAGCTAACCTAGGGCTCCAGGGGCAACACTGACAGGTCCAGCCTGACTTTAACCCCCACATCTCTACCCTGTGACACAGCTTCCGGCAGGTCCTCTTGACCCGGAGTCTGCCTCCTCTCTTCTCAGGGGACATCACCGTGGAGGGTCTTGATGGAGAGCAGCCGCTTCAGACCGGGGAAGTGGTCATCATCGTGGTGGTGTTGCTCATGTGGGCTGGTGAGTGAGCAACTGGATGCAGGACTCGGGGAGGGGACTCAATGAAGGTGGGAGGTGGCAAAGGTTGTCTGTCAGGAGAAGAGGGAGAACATGAAATGAGCAGTTGTGTGGTTGAGGGAGGATGGTCAGGAGGCTGGCGGGAGCCCAGAAATAAAGACTGCATGAGCACCCAGAATTCAAGGATTTTATTCCTGGATTTTCTAGAAGTTGTCTGGGTATCTCATTACTCTTCAAGGCTGTGAGTGGAGAGGTTGAGATGGAGGCTCAGATGGTATTGCTGTATTTCAGCTGTAATTGGGCTGTTCTGCCGTCAGTATGACATCATCAAGGACAACGACTCCAACAACAACCCCAAAGAGAAGGGGAAGGGGCCGGAGCAGAGTCCTCAGGGAAGGCCAGTAGGGACAAGACAGGTGATGTGGGGGCCTGTGAGGGTGGGAGGGTGATTTGGGCTAAAGGACCAGCCAAGGAAAGTGAGAGGCCAGAGAGGGGCAGGAAAAGGGGAGAAAGATTTGAGATGAAGGTGGCCAAGAGAAAGAGAAGCACCCATTACCTTCCTGAAATTAGAGACCCAGGCCATTCTCTCTGTTTTTTTTTTGGTTTTGTTTTTGGGTTCTTTTGGCCCTTCTCTTCCACAGAAAAAGTCACCATCCATCAACACCATCCATGTGTGAGCAAACTGTGTTTGAGTGAAGAAACAGAACCAGAAGAGAGCTGCACTGACAACATGGGGATGAGGGTAGGGTCAGGGAGAGCCTAAAGTGGTGATCTGCCCAGGACTCCCGGGGGGTAATGCACTTCCATGATCTCAGGCTGGTGCCCATCCTCGTTCCACTGTGAGTAGGCCCAGAAGGTAGGTCCCCTGGACCAGGAGAATGGACAGCAGATGGGTCATCTCTTCCCATCCCCCAGGTCCAGGGAAGAGTCACTTGTTCAACCCTATCCCATTAGGTCCCAAATGGGGGCCCTGTCTCACCTGCATCAGGACACTTGGCATCCCCGGCTACCCCGCCATCTTGCCTCTGGGCCTCGGAGAGGGGTGTTTCTGTGGGTCCTCAGCCTCCCCCAGCAAATAAAAGGAATCAACTGGGCCTAGAGGCAGACGTTACACTGCACTAGTCCAATGTCTTCCATGGAGCCTTTGGTGCTCCCCATCACCTGGTAGCCCCCCAGCTGCTGGTGATCTCACCCCTTGGACATTTTTCCAATAAAGGTTCTTGAACAAACTGGAGCTGACTGTTGGCATGCTGAAGACCTCTCCCTACCGGTCTCTCACCTGACTCTCCATGGCCCCTCACATCACCAACAACTTGTGAGGTGCAGACTCATTGTAAGGTGTTTGTTTCAACTCTTCAGCCTGAAATGGGAGGGAAGGGACCAGGAAGAAAGGCCAGAGAAAACCACAGCCCTAGTTTCTTTTGCTTTGTTGGGTGCAAGGGGTAGGGGAGAGAAGAGAAAGGTGTAAGTTCTTCCTGTGCTGGTGGAAACTGTTATGTCACATGAGAGGGGCAGTGGTTTATTTACTGCTTCCATCACTGGCCGAACTCTTCACCATTAATTCTGACTCTTCCATCAACCCTGGGCAAATGGTCCAGAAAAGGACTGAGCAGTGTCTTTGGGATAATTAAAGAGCAGCTACACTAATGGATCCCTCAATCTCACATGCTTCTATCCTGTGTGTTCTCATGACTCTTCTTCCTGCCTTTGTTTTCCTTTTCATCTCCATCTCTGTCTCTGTTCATAAAAGCAGTAATAATTGTAATGTATAAATGAGTTTATAATCATCGTACACCACCATATCCAGAGAAAGATTCTGGCAATAAAATTGAGAGGTTGGGAAAAAGGAACTATAATTTGGCTCTAGGACCTATTTGTTTTCTGTGAAAATAGGGCTGTCCTTTACTTTTTCCTAATTTCCAAGAGGGAGTTGGTGCGAGTGAGAGATGCAGCTGTTAACACCAGCAACTATGTGGTGAGAGGCTTCTGGACCCGAATCTGGGTTACAGGTCTTCCCAACTTCAGGTGTCCCAGAGGAGGCTTATGAATAACTCCTTCCCTATGTTTCATTCTGTCTGGTATGTTACAAGAAATAAATCCCCCCAAAAGAAGTTAGACCAAAAATTCTGAAAGGACACCAATCCAAACAAAAACCAGTAAGTCCATATCTTTTTTTCTTTGATTAAGCTCCTATCCCAGGTATTGCAAGACTTAAACCTCTCAAGCAAGCCATGCTATGGTCTGCCCTACCACCTGACCCATAAAAGCACCCCAATCTAAGCAGCAGTCCTTAATTCACCATTACTCAAGGTCCAAGAAGCATACCTTACCTTTCCCTGGCCATTGGTTCCAAAACACTTCTCTCTCGGACTCTGGAAACCATCATTTCTTGGGACAGGAGCGTTATGGGCTATAGCAGCCCGGCACGGAGACAGCTAAGACTTAAGAAAGAATATAAAAAGGGTATTTATGCTCTAGGTTGAATCTCAGTTCCACGTTTTAGAGTCTTTGTTTACTTGGCAAAGGTCACGTTGATCCTGAGTCTCCCGTCATGTAAATTGGGACTAATAATAACTTTCCTTTTCAAAAGGTAATTGAACAATACAATGCATGATCATCTGGTACAGAACCAGGTAGACACATACTCGCTGTAAACTGTCAGTATTAGACTTGTGATTCCATGCAAGTCATATTAACTTATTTCAAGATTGTCGATTGCTTTTGCCTATCATAGCAAAGGCTGTTTCCCCGAGTTTGAGGAATACGAGCGCACTCAGCCACGTAATGACCAAGAAAGACGATTCTGATTACGTAGTGCCCGGAGTTTGCCAAATACTTTGTGGGCGTGGCTTGGTCTTGGGTTTGCATACAGCGACGGGATTGGTCAAAGCGAGGTTTCCTGAAGCGTAACGTGGGCCCGCCCTACTTCTCACTGCGCTTGCGCACGTTCTGTTTGCTCCGTCGTGAACCCAGGAGGTGACGTGCATTGCGCTCAGGCCGCGTTTGCGTCAGCGGATGTTGCGGCCCCCGGCTTGGCAGGTTGTCTGGGTAACCGCAGGAGTAGTCGCTGTCTGGTAGCATCTGAGAGACAGGTGTCCGTCATGCAGTTGAAGCACCTGAGGACCCTCCTGAGCCCTCAGGTGAGGAGTCGCGCGCCACTTCCCTCCCCCAGCCACCGTACGGTCCAAGAAAAGTGGAGGAACTGAACTTTATAATGCGGAGCGCCTACTTTGCAGGAGAACGTAAAGGATATAGCGACGATCCTTATTCTGCTGCTTTGATTGAGCTTTCAGTAGGCGATGTAGATTATTGATGAGCGTAGCTTTCATTCCGTTCCATGCATCAGTTGGGTACTGGGTCCTATGCTGGTGCTCTGGGGGATCCGAAACCACCCGCAAGACTGCCCCTGTCTTCCGGAGGCTCGGTCCACAGGGAGAGGCGCACGGGGAGCCATCGGATGTAAGTCTCCACCGCATGAATTAAGCACCTTAGTGCAGTTCCTAAAAAGGGCGGGAGACTGAACCTTCATTCTGATGAAGATTTGTTGCATGAGATTCACTAGGGGAGAAGGTCTGAAACAGTGAACAAAAGGTGAGTTTTGGAGTTGGGGCCAGACTTCAAGTTCTAGTTAACTAAATAACCTGATATCTCTGACTTTAGCCTTTATCTCACAATCTCTTTCAGCACATTGGAAAATGGAAGTAGTGACAATAGCAACTTTAGAGGACTTGAGAGAGAGTTAAGTGAGGTAGTATACACAGAAGAGCACTATAAAATGAAAAGCATTGTAAAAATTGATAGACAAGAGGGAGGGACATTCAAAATTGAAAGGAGCCAGGGGTGGTGGCACACACCTGTAATCCCATCTTTCAGGAGGCTGAGGCAGGAGAATCGCTGTGAGTTGGAAGTCATATGCCAGATAGTGAGTTCAAGGCCAGCCTGAACTACATAGAAAAATCCTATCTCAAAAAAACAAACGAACAAACAAAACATTTTGAAAGAATAGGCTAACACAAAGCTAATAATATCTGCATAGTTGAGTGTTTAATATATACTAGGGCAGCATAAGTAAAGACATTAGGATTGTGATTTATGGAGTCAGACATATGTAATTTGAATCTTGGTTCTTCCCCCTACAAACTGTATATAAACGAGTACATTACTTAACCTTTCTGTGCCTCAGTTTCCCATTATAATAATGGCGTCTACTTCAGAATTATGAGGTAAAGTGAGATAGTGGATGTCAAGCACTTATCAAAATGCCTACATATGACAGTGCTTGCTTAAAGTTTATTTGCTATTATCCTATTCCCTATCTCATTTCATTCTCACAACAGTCCAATGTGATATATATTGTGGAGAAAGAGGAATTAATTGATTATAGGACTCAGAAAGGCTTCACAGAAGATGTGGCACATGGAGAATAAAGGAAATTTGAACAAAAGAGTTGTGCTCCTTGATCAGTAAGCTGGCCCTGAATCTGTAATTTAAAAATTGCTTTGCCATAATGGAAAAATTGGAAATGGAATCCTCCTTCAGTCTCTCAAAATAAGATGATGTCATGATGCAGGGAGGCCCAGATGCCCAGGATTGGGCATAGCCAGGAAGCAGGCTGATCAGCCAGAGTTGATGGGGAGCCTCAACCCTCTTCACCCAGTGTAATGAAGAGTTAGAGGACGACAGTTGTGGTGTGGTGATTTTCTGGCTCTGGTTTGAGGATTTTGGGGAAAGGAGCCTTTTGACTTCTGACTTTGGAGATAGTGGATTCAGATTATAAAGTGACAATGTTTTAAGCCAGAAATCTAAATCCGAGGTGATTAATCAAACAGTTAGTGTAGAAGCTAAATTTTTTAATTTAGTAGGGAAACCTTTAGTGTCAGAAACATAGCTGACCAGAGCTGGTGGAGGGAGGGACAGACATGGTTAGCATGATTCACTGGGGTAATGATCGCTTCTGACTTGCACTTATGTGAAGTGGGTACTTAAGTGCGGGGTGCCATTGCTCATCCTGTCTATCTTAATTACTTTACTTCCCCTTCAAATCTTTCACTGTCTGCCTCTTTCCTGCTAAATAAGCCAAACTCCTTGGCCTGGCTTCAGAGGTCTTTCCTGAGATGTCCCCAGTCTAACCTCCTCTCTGCTGCTACATATTTACCAGGTATTTTCAGCAAGAGTAAATTACTGTTTCTTGACCAGAGCTTGCCTTTGCTCATGCTATGCATTCAGTTACAGGTAATTCCCCATTGCATCCATTCTTCAAAGCTTAATTTCATTATCTCAGGCTTTTCCAAATTATCATAGCACTTTGTACATATTTTTCTTTTTCTTTTTTAGAGACAGGGTCTCACTATGTAGTCCAGTCTGGCCTTGAACTCATGGCGATCCTCCTGTCTCTGGCTCCCAAGTGCTGGGATTATAGGCATGCACCAATACACGTGCTGTATTTCTCTGTTAAAAAGAATTATCAGTATATATTTGGATTATATAAAGTGTACATTCTTTGTGGGGAGCTGGCACACACACATCACATCTTAATCCTTTTTACTTCCTCTCTCTTCCCTTCCATGTATTTTTCCCTTACGGCTTTTCCTATTTTGTACCATCTTATTAGATTGTGGTGCAGGACCTATGTTTTTCTCTCTGTCTTTCAGCCCCTGGCCAACTACTTTTCTCAGTAAGGTATTCAGAAATATATTAACTGAATGAATAGCATTGTAAAACTTACTAGAACAACTGAATTTATTTCAGTGGCAAACCTGACATGTGAGGGAGCAAAGACTTTACACTGTGAGTCTAAAAGTACACTGTCCTCAGTCCATGTTCTGGTGGCTTTGGAGTCCAGGATGGGCACAGGGATCTTTTATTTAAAAAAAAAAAAAAGGCTGTGACAGAAAGAAAATGGAACAGAGTCACAAAGCTGGACATGGTTTTGGCATTCTAGACCAGATTCAGGGTTTATTTTATCCCTGAACTTCTGCAGGATGGAGCTGCCAAGGTGACCTGCATGGCCTGGTCCCACAACAATGCCAAATTTGCTGTCTGCTCAGTGGACCGAGTGGTGTTGCTGTATGACGAACACGGGGAGCGGAGAGATAAATTCTCCACCAAACCAGCTGACGTGAAGGTGACGAGTACTCAGGGGCACGTTGACCTGTTGATGGGGTCTTAGAAACCTGGAAAACGTCTTAACCCACCTTCTAACGACGGGCACAAGAAATGGCCCACCCCTCCTTTTCTCAGAATAAATCTCTTTTTGTACATGCACCTTTTCTTCTTTTTACTCTCATGTCTTTTCATTATCTCTCTCTTTCTTTTTACTTCTAGTATGGCAGGAAGAGCTACATGGTCAAGGGCATGGCTTTTTCTCCAGATTCCACTAGAATTGCCATAGGACAGACTGACAACATCATCTATGTCTACAAGATTGGAGAAGATTGGTGAGGATAGAGATGGGGGGATGAGGTTGCCCCGCAAAGAAGGGGAAGCATGAGAAGTGCCTTGGTGTGGGAGGAATAGGAAGGATGAGGAGCTGAGCTCAGGGCTGGAAGGCAGTAGGCTTTCTGGAATCTGTGGCTGTGGCCTCCAGGCCTTTACTCGTCCTGTGAGTTCTGCAGTCCCATCCCTGGAGGAATCAGTAAGGTCAGCAGAGGCCCCACTATGGTGTTGCATCTTTGCTCTGTTTCTGAGCTGCTCAGGCTCCCTGTCATGGCTCCTTTCGGGCTCCTAGAGAGGGGTAGGAAAACTAGTGGGCCAGGGAAGGTATCTGGTCTTTCTTCCCATCCCTCAGCATCCCTTTTGGCAGCTTATTCAATGTGCTTTCCTTCCTTTTCTTTGGCAGGGGTGACAAGAAAGTCATCTGCAACAAGTTCATCCAGACGGTAAAGTTCAGAGCAGTCCTGAGAGCTTAAGATGAACAAACATGTATCAGTACATCTGTTTTAAATGCAACCAGGAATTGCACTTTCTAACCTCTGAATGTGGCTTTTCCTGCTGCAAGGATGGTACTGCCTAGCTGCTCACTGTTATCTGCCTTCCTGCTAGCAGCCAGTTGGGCGCCCCCCGACCCTTCCCTGTAGAAGACTGGGGTAATAGAGCGTGGTGGGTGTCCAGCTTCGGTAAACGTGCCGACCCACGCAGACAGGAGCCTCGTCAACATTTTTTCATACAGAGTGCTGTTACTTGTCTGCAGTGGCCCGCAGAGTACATCATTGTCTTTGGACTGGCTGAAGGCAAGGTAAAGAAGGAACGGGAAACACAGGAGAGGTGGTGGGTGGGGACAGTGGGTCTGGAAAGAGGAGCATTGTTCATCTTCTCTCTCGGAGCCAAGTTGCATCCTAGGGGATAATGGATGGGGACCAGAGTTGTGCATTTTGTTTTTGTTTTTGTTTTTTTTAAGGGCCTGGGTGGAATTGAAAGTAGCCTAACCAGACTTGTATCCATCCTCCCATTTTCAGGTTCGTTTAGCAAACACTAAAACTAATAAGTCATCTACCATTTACGGGACAGATTCTTACGTGGTGTCACTGACAACAAAGTGAGTAAGAAGGGTCAGGAAAAAACTCTGGGTGGGGGCGTCTGGGAGACCATAGTGTGAAAGATGGGGAGGCTCGAGGGGCCGGGGATTTAGCTTAGTGGTTTCACCACCTGCCTCGCAAGCTCAAGGTCCTGAGTTCGATCCCCAGTACAAAAACAAAAACAAAAAGACAGGGAGGCCTGGTAGCAGGAACCATGAGTGAGGTAGTGTTTGTCAGAGAAAGGGGACTTTCTTGGAGAGATGAAATAATCCATCCCTCTATTTTTCTCCTTTCCCCTTTTTTAGTTGCTCTGGGAAAGGAATTCTCTCCGGTCATGCAGATGGTACCATCGTGAGGTATTTCTTTGATGATGAAGGCTCTGGAGAGTCACAGGTATGAATAAATGGTGTTCTGCAATGAGGAGAAGTAAATCAGAGGAGCCTTCCCGAGAAGCCAGACATCTAAAGCACTGAGGTTGAGGCACTAGGGGAGGAGTCTGGAGGGCGAGACCTGGGGAGGGAGACAGGTGATATGGCCCACTGTTTACGGGAAGAGATGATTCAGGTGGAAGGGACCTTGGGACGAAGGGAGCAAAGATTCTGAGGCAAACGAAAACGGAAAATTATTCTCATTTATGTAAAAACATTTATATATATAAATTCATAGAAAAAAGTTAACTGTTTACTCTGGAAAAGGAGAAAGATGGAAATAAAAGGAAAACTTGATATTTTATGCTGTATAATCCAGTAGTATTTGAATCATTTATCTTATGAATTATATGTGTAATAATTGATTAAATGTAGCCTTCCTTAAAAAAAAAAAAAACAGTGCCAGAAAATCTGTGGGCCTAGCCAGTGTCGGCTAATGTGTAGAACATCTCCTTTGGGGTGGCTTTACTAGGTACGCATCAGAGATCTCCAACACACCACTATCTTGAGATCTTTATAGAGCATGAGGCCAAGAAGTGTGTGTAGGTGTAGA